ATCACTGATAGAAGGGAACAGAAAATATGTATATAGTTTCATTGCATGGCATTTATTTCTTAAACTTGCAGAAGTTCATTATCCTAACAAGGACTGTTAGATTTTTCAGATTGAAAATAAAACTTCCAGAGATGCCAACAGCAGCCCATGAAAAGCAGACGGTTTGCTTTGCACATTTCTTTCAAGAGGGTGTTTGTTTGGTAGATGCAGGGAGGATTTAACAGTTATGGGACAAACCTAGAATTTATTTGAACTGCTGTTTGGGAGAAGATGTCTACCGACTTCTCTAGGAGTTAGTCTGAATAAGAACTGTGACAATGCCTTAGTATTTCTCCTGAGGTTTTTAGTAGTCTTTCTCTTATCTCTGCACCATATTTAGACATGTTTTCATCATATGGCAGATCCTGAAATGTGCTGAGACTTCTTGTTTCCTCCTCTAAGCTGATGAATACATTTCAGTCCTCCCTATGCATAACATAGGATAGCGTCCAAATATGAAGTCATCTGCTTCCTATGCCATCTGCATCATATGCCTTATTTTAGCCTCTTGATGTGTGCATGGGTCATAATCAGACATCCAACTCTAAAAGTTCAAGAATTTCTCACTCTGGTAAAATGTAAACATGTCCTCTCCACTTCATTTCAGAGTAAAACAGGTTATCTTAAATCCTGTTTCATGCTTTTCACTTCTTTCCAGATTAGAAAACGTAGCTGAAAAGAGCTGTTCGCTGACATCTCACTGCTCAGATTCCTAGCTGATATGTTCTAAAGCTCACATTCTCCTTCTTGGACTTTGGTCCATGTCAGCTAGATTCCTTGGATGGCTATTCTTGGGTATAAATCATCCTTAGCATTGCAAAAGAAGATCCATTGAGAAAGGGATTATGCAGGACTAAGAAAAAAAATTATTCTTGCCAAATATCCTGTTAGGGGGAGAGTGAGGCTGGAGATAGGAATTAAGTGTTAATTTCCTAATCTTATATGAGGCACAAAGCACCTGGTCATCAGCTAGCAAAATAGGAAAAAATACAGTCAGCTTCTCGGTCAGCTATGGGAGAGGACTTGGGAAGTCAATGAGTCCTTGAAGTTAAAGGAATTGTGAGGATTGGGACTTCGGGGCAATTGCCCCAGTTCAGGCCATGGTTGGAGAGGAGGCTCCCACTCAGAAGGGCAGGTAGCATCCACCTCATGTCTGAGAGGCGGCAGGGCTCAGCCATAGCAGGGGCTTTGCCCATTTTCCTTCTTGCTTACAGCCCTGCCCTGAAAATTTGCAAGAAACTTTGCTTTTCTTGACATCTCCAATACAGGCTAATGCTGCTGCACAAACCAGTGACTCGCATCAAGAGGTGCCCCCATCCTTCCCATCAAGCAGGGCACTCTCTAGCTGAGTGAAGTGATCATTCCCCCTTTGGTGGGTGAGTTGTCAATACTTGGGTGTCAGGTGAAGCATCACAGATGTTTTCCAGACCAAGCTCTTGAAAGTCGTAGGAAGAAAGAAGGGCTGTAAGTTCATATGTGGTCATCTTGGCTTTATGTTCCCTGCTTTTGCCCTGGTCCCACTGCTCATTTTCTGCCTTTAAGTTTGCAGGTGAAGGCTCTGAAAGCTGGATTGAGTGGGTGCATGTAGACCGGCTGACTCGAGACAAGATTTTCTGTCTGTGCTAGAAGCAAATGCAGTCCGAGACAAGCCCAGACCCTGTCCTCTGCAGTGCACTGCCACCACCTATCCTGCGCCTGCCCTGCGGTTTAGTAAATGGTTATCTTCTTGCACTGAGCTCATCCAGACTGTCTGCAGATAATCTGCTTGCAAGGTAGCCATATGTATGGGGCATGGGCAGATTACCGAAGTGATGACCCCACCACTCATACAGACATTACAGTCTGTCAAAAGCAGCATGGACAGAGTCATTGCGTGACGTGTTTTGGGAGACTCAGATCAGAGGAATCCAATGCTAACACAGCAGTTTTGCAAAGACACTGCTGGATCATAAAAGTATTTAACAGTTGGCAGGTATTAGCCTGGGCTTCTAGATAAAGAGGGGTTTTAATGCCTGTAAGTTGTTTACAGAAACACCCTCCACCTGAAGGGAGATGTGAAAGCAATGCAGGACAGAGGTGTCTGTGGTGGTGTTGCTTGGAACTGGGAGCTGGAAGCCTCAGTCCTGCTCTTGGCTCCCACCTCATTGCATGGATTCCTTGGGAGTAAACAACAGCCTTTCTGTTCCTCTGCCCCATCCACCACAGAGCATACCGAGACCTCCTGTGGCTCAAAAAGCACTCTTTAAAATCCATAAATTGGCAGGTTTAAAACTGGCTGTTTAAAACATGATGACGTCTGAAAGGCTGAACACCACACTTTGTTTTCATAGGCAATATTGGATAGCTTCAGTCATCGTGCATAGGATGGACGTCAACAAATGTGAAATGAGGATATACTGCAGCATCTGTTGCACGCTATATTTTCCCTGTGCTGCCTGTTTGCAAATCCATTGAGATGTCTGTGAGGATTTTCTGCTAATAAATCAACACGGTCTACTAGAATGTGTAAGGGAAATCCCTTTAATTTCTGTCTGTGGGT